AATGAGACCTAGCTGCCAATCTAGTACTACGCTTAACTTCGTGAAGTCAAGATACCAAAATGTTACATTTAGCAATTTCAACAGTAAAATGATGAGACCTAGCTGCCAATCTAGTACTATGCTTAAATTCATGGGTTCAAGGTATCAAAGAGAAAAGCTCATTAGAATAATTAGAAAAGTCACATGGAAACTACATTATGACAGGGGGGGAGTGATTGAAGCTGAGATGCCAGGTCAGGACCAGTAACATTGCAGATACTTTGAATTTTGTCAAGAATCTCTAAATACATAGCAGAAGCACCAGATCAAATGTGGCAGTAATATCCAATGCATGGACAAATGGTAGACTTATTTAAAAGAGTAAAATAGATTCTGGTGCCAAAAATTGTTTAGCACAACACAGTGTACCAACTTTCCTTAACAGTCCATTATTCATTTCCAGCTAATACCAGGATGATATGATAAGGCCCATTATTCTCCATGTTTTTTTAGATCTTGAAGAAAACTCATGACAGACTTTGAATACTGATTTTTTTAAATGTATGTACACTTTTCTCATTTGAAAGGTTGATATAACACTGTGACAATAGGATCTAATTGATCAGGATGCTCAAATAGAAGTGGACAGTAAATGATTTTATCTGAGTCTGAAGTGTCTGGTGTTTTTATGACCAGCAGTAAAGTCTATGAAGTAAGATCTTCAAACTGGTCACCCACTGACAAAAAGAAAATAGAGGAAATAAAACTTTAAACATAAAGTGCCACTTTGCTGGAAATGAAGTTCCATTCATAGGTGTATATAACCAGTGTCACATTAAAATAAAGAATAGTATTGAGCCACTGTGGGTAAGTTGTGAGCCATGTGTCATGATGTAGAGATAGGCAGAAGGGTGGCAGGAAAGTCATAGTCCTCACTATCTGAAAGAAAGGTCTTATCTGTTATAGTAGAAAATGTCCCATGTGTCAATTACCCGCTCTCTCCCAACTGTGCCAAGTGAATTCCTGAAGAGGCAAGAAATATATTTGAAACAGTATTCACTGGACCTTTTCCAATTTTTGTACACACTGATATGAATGGGAATTGAAATACTGGAATTTGATTGATTGATTTGTTTTTTATGTCTTATCAACCATTTGCAAGTTATTTAAAGCCAGAAAATATCTTTAGATTGTAAGAATTTTGGCGAGATAATGATTTACTGATACAAGTCCTACTAATTAATCCATAGCTGGTGGGAAGAGGTGGATTTTTACCTCCCCCGGGGGTATTTGCACAGAATATAATGAACCCAAATGGAATTAAAACTCAGCTTTCTGATTTCCAATTCTGAGCCGTTATCCTTTACACCAATTGCACATTTAAGCTGACCCAAGTGGTCACCCATCTAGGTACTGACCATGCTCGATGTTGCTTAACTTTGGTGATTGTTTGAGAACCAGTATGTGATATGACTATATGCCTAACACTATCTGGAGGAATTTGTTCAGTCAGTGAAAGACTAATAGAGAAGGCGGTTGGAGGTATATTTACAGTCTTTCTGTACCTATTTGGTTTTGTCAAGGATGGTAGGATAGTGATCATAATGTTGCAAGACAATATTACAATTAGCAACTAATGGAGATTAGTGTCTGTGCTTTCATTATAATATTTGACTATTCATTTGTTATTTGCATATCATGGACTAATTAACAAAAAGTAACAAACTGATTATGATGAAATTTATATGATCCTTTTTGAAGAAATTTGACATTTTAGTCATTCATTTCTTTGTTCTGATACTAAGCCAAACCTATTCACTTATTTAAAACACTTTGATTTGGTAGAAAGGGAATTTGTAGGCTGCTACTAATTAAAGCTAAAAGCTCTTTGCTATGAATTGAGCACTTTGGTAGCTGGTAATACTTATATCTTGTATATAATGCATTAAAAATTCACTTTCTCCACTGTCTATACTGATAGACTAAGGGTGAGAGAGTCCAACTGATGTTAAATCAGTTGGGATTCAATCCCGATTAAAAGCAATTGCTTGTCTAGCCACACTGATGAGCTGTGATACAGTGAAACTGTCTGTGGATGACAATATATATATATATATATATATATATATATTTAGATGTCCCTATAGAGAATTGTATTCTCAATGAAGAGAAGCCCATATATAATTATATTGTACACATTACCACCCTGCCTGTAAAGAAGACAGACTCTACATCTCTCTGACCAAAGCTCAATATGGACACATTTAATCCAACATGGAATTGTACCAAACTTGATACTCAACATACGCATCGAGAACATGAATGTGACATATACCTCCAACTGCAAAGTGCATTTAAAAGAGGGTCTTATCAGAATAAAATAAGAAACTACCCTTTAATAACATTAATTATAAACATGGTTACAATGTATTGGCTGTATTTTGAAATTAAGGATGTGTCTATTTTCAGCAACATTTATATTGTCTAAAATAGTACTTACACTCCTTTTATTATAGATATTTATGTACCGTGTCCTCTCATGACATAGGTGATCATGGCTCTCCACAATTTTTCCTGTCATTTGTGGCTCTTAATAAATTTTCCCATTTTATTTCTCCTATCCCTTGTTCCGCCATCCATTTACTGAAGCTCACTAAGTATTTTATGTATTGTTTTCCCCTGCCCCTCTTGCCTTCAATCTGTCTTGTGTGTATCAGATTTTCCAAGCCCTTCTTCTTCATTATGTACCCCCAAAATTTCAACTGTCTCTTAAAAACCCTTTGAAAATGGATAATAGTTTACCTGGAAGCACTCGAAATTAATGAACTTTTGGCCAATTTTTACATTAAACCCAGAAAATGAAACACTTGTATGCATTCAAAAACACATAAAAAACTAAAGATAAGTAACTTGTCAGTTTTGTTCAACAAACACACATATATATATATATATATATATATATATATATATATAATAATGCTTACTCATTTCTGAGCACACCTGTTTGCTAGGGTGGTTAACTAATCCCTGTTGCAGATGTCTGCTCAGGCATATTTATATTTCTAAAAATCCTCAGAGCCCATATATGGCTTATACTGCAACTATACTGAGTGGATCTTAGAGTTTCTGGAGAGAGTGCATAATCTGGCACAATAAATTTTGAACATGACCAGTATGCTCAAAGCTTCAATTCAAGGCAAATACAGTAAGTAGCATGCATTACAGTAGAAAGTGTTGAACCTACAGAAACATTTTTTTAAGAATAATAATGTAGAAGTCTCCATAAAAACAAATAATCAAAATGTAAAAGAAAAAAAAAAACTAATAAAAGGATTTAATGATTGATCTTTTATATGCCATGTCCCTTCAGAACATAAGCAATCATGGCTCTCCCCAGTTTCCTATCTTTTGTAGTTTGTCCTCCCAGTCTCTGTTCTGCCATTTATTATGAATGGGTGGCCCTTTTTCCCATACTAACCCAAACAAACATCTGGTGGTACCAGACTGTCTTTATAGAAAGTAGAATAAACTTAACTACCAGTCTCTTGATGATTCAGCTATGTACCATGCGTGATACATGCTTAGGTGATCATGACTGACAAGGTAGATTTTTTCCCACAGTAAGTTGCCATTTCTTTCTGTGGTAGACCACTTGCCATCCAAGGCTATAGAATCTGGTCTGTCCTGCTATTTACTCATAGCTGGTGGAGAGAAGAGGATTCATAGCTTTCCAAAGGGTATTAGCACATAAGTGAATGTAATGGATACAACTGAAATTTGAACTCAGCTCTCCGATTCCTCAATCTGAGCCACTATCCATTACTCCACCATGCCTCTCTTGATGATTAGCAACATTAAATAGAACCATAAAAACTTTTATGTTCTTTTAAACTAATCACCATATGCCAACTTAAACCTCAACTCCTTGTTTCTCCTTGCCATCCTTGACCTGTATCCATCTCCAGACATCATACATACATGTAGAAAACTTTTCCCGCCAAAAATATGTGCCTTGAAAGACCATTTGATGAACAAACCCTCAGCAGTGAGGTTGTGTTTTTGCGTCACGGTAATGATTTTATCATTATATTCTTCATCTATCCATTCTGTTTTGCCTTTATTTGACCAATATCAGAAACTATTTTCTTTCGGTCTTAAATGTATTATTTTTAAAAATTCTGCTCTCCTTTTTATATAGTTTGTCCTGGGTATGACAATAAACTACATCCACATCCAGGGTAAGATGATAAACTACGTCCAAGGCCTCTGATCAGGAGGCTTTGAGGAGTGTGGAACCACCTCTTAATTGCTGGTGTTCCCAGGTCCATCCTGACCTGGGTTGGTAGCACCTGTTAGGGTCCCAGCTATGGGCAAATAGTTAACACCAAAACTAAGGTAAAAAGCATTATGAAAGTGTAAAAATCGGTTTTAATACTAGAAATACTTTGTAAAAAAATTATTACCAGAAATAAATTTTTGAAAAAAAAAAAAATTACCAGCAAAATGTTTTTTAAAAAAAAATATTACCAGAAATAGATTTTTGAAAAAACAAAATATTACCAGGAAAAAAAAGTTGATGGCATTAAACGACCCATTGCCATAAAACAAATCAAACTAAACCAAACCTATTTATACAGTCATATATATTAATATTTCAATCAAAATTGCCTTTTGGTCTTAAATGTATTATTTTAAAAAATTCTGCTCTCCAGGTTATATAGTCATATATATTAATATTTCAATCAAAATTGCCTTTTTTTTTCTGTTATTATTTGTGTTTGTTAACTTAAATAAATAAATTAAGTGAAAATTAACTTTCATCATTTGTTTTATTTTACATTCATTCATTTTTGTTTCTTTGTCACACTGTGACGTATCTATTTACATAAGCTCATTAGATATATTACTTGATCTTTCCCTTTGTTCCTCTTGCCTTCAATATATCTTATGTGTGTCAAAAATGAAAAAAAAACATTTTTTTCATTAAACGATGAAGAAGTCCCCCAGAAAATGACAAGTGATTAAGGGTTATGTCTCTCTGATTTGTGTGTTGGAAAACATTTGCCAGATGGTGCAGAAGTGATTCGCCTGTTCGGCAGATGGGGTTGCATGTAGTGCTGATAGAGGATACGACTACACATCTGTGGGAAACGTTTGGCCAGTAGCCTTACTTCAAGCGGGGAGGGAAATCTGTATTCGGGTATGACATTGTCACCCAAGACAACCATCTGACAAGGCCTGAAAAAAAAAATAGATATACAAATATTAAGAAACCTTTAATAAATTATAAAGTGAAAATTACAGAGGATAATTAATATTAAAAGTAATTAATTAACAGGTTTAGGATATTGTTGATTTTAACCCATTAATACACCCTATCCCATTTTGGACATTAACTGGTTACAAGTTGAAACCTATAAATTATTGGTTTCAACCTATAACCTACCTATGAAATCCAGCATTAATTATAAAAATTAAGATAAAAATTTTTTTTATTTTAATTTAAAAAAAAAATAATATCATATTTTGGGGTGGGCATTAATGGTTAATACCCTAAACAATGGAGGTGCAGATGGAGTAATTCATATTGGTGCGGAAAATGCTGAGTTCAATTCCTGCTTGATTCTGTTTTATTCACTTTGTGTTAATGCTCTTGGAAAAGGCATGAATCCATCCTCCTCCAGCTATCGGTTAAATAGCAGGACAGACTGGGCTCTCTTGCCTTGAGGCAGTAACTAGTCTAGGAGAAAGAAAATTCTGAATTCAAAACCAGCCTGAAGAGGATTTGAGTCTCTAAGGCCATTTGCATTAAACAGACCACACCTACTATAAGTGCATTGACCCTAATGAGTTACAAGATACACACACACCCTAAACAATTACCACATACTAAACACTGAAATATTTCCCTTACATTTCCTTAATTAGCTTCATATTCTGATCCCACTATTGGTTTTAAAATACATCAGAAATAAAAACCAAAAATAACACCCAGAATGCAATTATATATTATTTCAACTCATGATCACAAGTCCCATAGCCAATCAGGGTCATAGGGGCACCACACGTACTGCAGCCATAGTAGAAGTAACGTATCTTGGGCAAGATAGCCTGATGTAGCTAAACCCTCTCTATGCTGGTTTGAATTCAGAGTTTTCCTTCTCCTAGACTGGCTGCCAACCAAGGCTATAGGACCCAATCTGTCCTGCTATTTACCCATAACTGGGGGAATAAATGGATGCATACTTTTCCAAAGGGTATTAACACATAAGTGGACAAACTGCATTTGACTGGAATTTGAACTCGGCTCCTCAGTCTGAGCCACTAACCATTACTGCACCATGCTACCATAATATTTCAATTATATTGTAAAAACTATGTAATCACCATGAAAAAAATTATGCATATACTTATTCTACTTTGGTTTTCCAAACTGTGACCCTGGCACATTTCCAAATCTTAGAATATGAGGTTAGTTTGAAAAACTTAGGGGAAATATGAATGTGGGGGTATTACTGATGAACCAACTTCAATCTGGCAAAATCTGTTGCATTCACTTTCGCACAAATGTCCTTGGGAAAGGTGTGAATCCATCTCTTCTTCTCCCAGTTATATTTTTTAATCAATTCACCCCAAGCAAGGTGATTATACCACTAAGATGCATGAGGCTGCTGAGAGTGAAAGAGAAGGAGGAAACTTTAGGACGAAGTGGAAACCCAATCCTAAAGAGGAAACAAGGGATAAACTTCTACTCCTGTTCCAAAGACTGGGGAGGAGTATGAACCGGATGATATGAGTTAAACAGCAGAGTAAGATTGGATTCTCTAGTTTTGGACAGCAACCAGTCAAAGAGAAGGACAACTCTGAATCCAAAACCAGTTGGGCATGAGGCTAGCAACTCCCCCCCCCCAAAAGACATACTTGCTGCATAACCTAGTCTGATGAGGTTGTGGCCCAATGTCCTACAGTGTAGTTTACAGGACTTAGAGATATTAATCGCATAGATTGAATATCACACTTCAGAATTTTTAATTAAAATTCAGCTTATGAGTTATGGACTTATTGATCCACTCTCATCTATAGAGGAAGAAGGCAAAGAAAGAAGTGGAGAAAACAACAGAAGACCATTCCAATATCTTTCCCAAGAAAGTCATAGCAATTCAGATGAAAAAAAAAAATGGAAGTAGTCAAGAGCTATGATCCCTGCATCTAAAAAAGACATGTCACTAAACGAATGGGAAATATAAATGAAGTAATTCAGTAATATGGGAAAATGGATTAGAATGTTAAAATCAATAGCACCCATTATTTGAAATATCAAGAAAAAATGCAATTGTCTATGGACAGCTGCTGTGGAAGGGAGAAAAGGTTATTCTCCATGCACTCTCAAAAGGTTATTTTCCACTTATTTTATACTAAATAATGGATAATTGTGTATTACAGTTGGCTTATATAACCCCAAATTTATATTTCCATATAAAAAAAAACTGTTTTATTATTTGTTGTTCATTCAACAATATATAATATCTTGCACTATATATAATTCAATAAGATATATATCAAATATATCTTTTTGCACTCCTTCTTGGATGATTGATGCAACAGTAATTCCACTTCTCTTCCATACATTTGGCCTTCTGTAAAATAAAGTTAATCTTATTGAACATTGATACAAACCTAAGTCTGCCTCAATTTTTTAAATAATGAGGTATTCCTGACCGGTATAAAGTGATTGATGCTTGAGCTTGGGTAAAAAAAGTAAAAATCTTAAATACTGATTTTTAAGGTAGACATGCCTCCTCCTCGAGAATTAGTGCAACACAATCATTGGTATGATTTCAAAAGAACAGAAGTTAGTATAAACCCTTCATGCATATTTTACCATTTTTGAAATGAGCAAAAATTGATCTTTATGACAGACAATATTCTGATAAAAAGATTTTTTGTGAAGCCCAAATTTTAAACAAAATATGTATTATGCATCTTTTCTGAATATTTTAAGCATTTTTGCCATTTCCCCCAAAATACAATTATGCCCTTTTAGCATCACATCAAAAAATGAGAAATATAAAGAAAAATCCAAGTGAATTCATCTGTTTTATCATCCTTGAGCCAAGGTTCGACTGATTTGTATTTGCAGGTTATTTAAAGCCAGAAAATATTTTTGGACTATAAAAATCTTTTGGAGATAAGAATTTACTGATACATGCCCTACTATTTAACCCATAGTTGGTGAGAGAAGAGTTGGATTCATATCTTTCTCAATGGTATTTATGTGTAATTGAATACAATAAACCCAAGTGGAATTGGAACACAGTTCTAATTTCCAATTCTGAATCAATATGATGAGAGAATATAAATATACTTTTTGACAATGTCTCAGTCTCTTTTTTTTTAAATTTTATAAAAAAAAATAAATTTGACATTTCATATTAGAAAAGATGACCTCACCCTGGAAAATTTTTACCTCCTCCATTTGTGAATGTTATGTGAACTAATTTTAATGTGATAAAATGCACTACTACCAGTGGGCCCCCTCTAAAATCACCCCCTCCCCAACACTGGAATTGATGACATCTCTATTGGTAATACCCTAGTGATGTACCGGCTCTAACCCACTGCACCTCTTCTCTGCATATAATGGCTCTCTTGAGTCCTTAAGTTCAAGACCTCTGCTCTATACTATTATTCTGCTTGTTTGTATATATAACCACTGTGCTTCTTTAACTAGGATCAAAGTGTAGTATCTGCCCATTCAACAGTTTTTCTACACAATTATATTTTTTCCTTATGACTTTATTTTTTACAAGGAAAAAAAAACAATACTAATAAATAGGACATTTTATTCTAAATATAATCATATCAGAAACTCTTGACTAAGTTTACCACTTTCATTGGGTTTTTTTTTTTTTTTTTTACTGAATAGAAGGTAGAGAGGGGTGGTTCAAGAAATTATTTGAATCTTACCCAGCATTTTCAGGAATTGATTTTGTATGTGCAAAACTTGTATTGTTGAGAGATTTTCTTGGGTGGCTTGAAACTTGAGAACAGCTTGTATTTGGTCTTCTGGGAGATGTCTCTTGTGACTTCTGGAAACTGAGGCTATAATTAAAATATATAAACAGTAAATAAATTGAATGAATTTTTCAATCTTTGCATTACAGTTTTTCATACAATAAAAATATTATTGATAATACTTGCTTAAATGTCACCTTTGGTGGCCTCTATTCAATGTTAAATCATTTTCTACTTTTTTAATGTTTTCATCTTAACTTAAATTCCCCCAATATAAGGCTCAAGATCCACTCAAGATAAAGGGTTGCTGAATGAAATGTGTGATATGAATGTATGAGGAGGGAGTAGGAAGTGAAAATTTTGAGAAAAAGGAGAACAGATAATAATTGATCCATGAATTGAAAAGGTTAAGACCAAAAAGTTCAAGGAAGCATCCAGGTTGGAGTCTGTTCCAAAAAGTAGCAGTTCTTGGTAAAAAGCTGTTTGAGTGGAACTTCCTCTTTACAGTTGGAATATAGAGGAATTATTACTGCAGTGTGATAATAGAGGATACTTTACTGATTTACTGGAATTATTTTCCTGATCTTTATCACACCCGTTTTAGCCACATTATCTTTTAGTATTTCTCAGTTGCCATTTGCATGCATCAATTTAGAAAGATTAAGTTGAAACCTTTATTTGATCCACTGGTGTATACCTTTCTCATTTTCCTATACTTGTCAAATCTGGTGCACTTCCAATGGAATGTTAAATAGGACCAATAGAAATCTATATAAATTAAAATTATAGCAAATATATTATTAGGACATATTCTATTAATTAATCATTTTCAAACAAAATAAAATGTCTTTTTGTTGAAAACTAATATTAAGATATGATATTCCTACTGAGTAGATACAAAACTAATATTAAATTAACTTAAAATTTAATAAGATAAAAAATACACAGGATTTATAACATACCAAATGATTAATCTATAAAGTTTCAGCTTTTAAGAATGCATAGCTATTAAGTTATTAGAAATTTTATACTCTTCAAGTAAAACACTTTAAAATGGGGTCCACCATTTTTCTGTTAAAACTATGCATGTATTTTGTATCTACTATTATGTCCATATGGTAGGTATAAATAAAAGGACAAGGTAACAAATAGTAAGTCAGTGCCCAGTTTATGTGATAATGCAAGTAGCAACCAGATGTAACAGTCCAAGATGAAGTTATTAAATCTTCCTATGTTTTGTCTATTCCCTGTCATATGAAAATTGTTTTTATAAGAAGAAACTGGACTAAAAAGTAAAAAAGAAAGAAAAACAATTTTTTGGAAGCATCTTGACAAATTATGGAATATAAAGAATTTGGATTTACATTTTATCTGCCTTCTTTTTACTTCTATTTTTCTTATTGGATTAAGTGTATTATTTTTACAAGGCCAAATGTTCACTCTCTAAACCTTTCACAATTTATTCACTCAGCCATTGTATTCTCAGTCATATAACCTGTTATATCCAGTATCCTTCTGAGGCAATGTCAAATTGAAGTCTTTATTTGATCCACTGATCTATACTTTTCTCATTTTCTTATGACAGTCAAATCCGGTATCCTTCCAAGAAAATGCTAAACAGGACTATTTATTTAATACCCTGAGGTATTATGTTCTCAGTCTTATAACCAGTCATATCTAGTGTTCTTTTGAGGGGTGGCAATATGTCTTCCATCAAGACTCTTCTCCTTCCAGTATGACCTTTGTGACCCAGAAGTAGCTGATCAACAATATTGATGATCATATAGGATAAAATTAAATCCTATATATATTTTTCAACAAATAAAATCACATCAGAAGGTTTGTTTGATAACAAATACTGCCAAAAAATAACAATAATAACTCCCTTCACCACTCTTGCAAATTAGGGAAAAAGATTTTTGGAGCCATTGTGAAATTATTTTCTAACTAATGAAAAACTTGTATTCAAAAAGTTTACACCTCTTTGTAAAATTAGATTTCAGATCCCCTTTATGGATTTAAAAATAGAAGCCTGCTGCTTCTTGAGGTTCAAACCAATCTGGGAGGCCAGTTTGATCTACACATGCATACACACAATGAAAGAGATGACAGCTAGCAGCTACTGAGTAAGGCCTTGTCCACGCACACAATAGAAGAGATTAATTAGCAGCCACTGACTAAGCCTTTGTCAATGCACTCATGAACACATTAGGCTGACCGTCATAAAGTAAGTCTATCCACACATCTCATGCTACTCTAAGAACACTTAATTACTTTATAAAACAAACTTCATTACAATGAAAATTAAACATTTTATTGTAATTGTATATTTCTGAAAAGAATATCTATTATTTCAACTGTTGTTCTGCTTCTACTTTTCCTTCAGATAATAATCTTTTTTATATTTCATTTAAAAGATGTGCTGTTGTTGTTGTTAAACGTTTGAAATCCTGACACTCATAACGACAAATAGCTGGGGAGATGGGTCCCAACAATTATGTCACTTATATGTAGCTTCCTACCTCTCTTTAATCCCCTGGCCACAATAAAAAAAAGACTCATTGAAGGCCACCATAATTGATATGATGGCCAACATGGGATTCTTGTTGTTCAGGTGGAAGAAAAGTATGAAGCCTGAATTGGAATTTTTTGATTGAATACTTTTGTTTTTTTCCTTTATTTAACCCTTTCTGTTTTAACCCTTTCTCAAGAAAAAAATCTGTTAATACCAATTGTTTATAATATAATAATACTCTTGGGGTATCACTATATAAAAAAATACCCTTGGGATATCACCATATAAAAAAAACATATTAGTTTTACAGAGAAATGCTTGTTGAAGGTTATCAGGAATGTATTAACTCATTAAATACTGAAAAACTTGTGCAAAAGTAGATGGAATGTGCAAAATATGAGATTATTATCACACTTGTTATTATGAACTGTAGTACAAATTTTAACTACTTTTAATATAGTAACTGTTGTAACCTAGGAAAGGTTACTGAATAGAATAATCACACAAAAGTTGGTAATGAATGATAATACTTAGGACAAGAACAACACATATAAGATTTGCTAATGGCATGTAGAAGTAGTCAACTGCTAGAAGTGAGTCAACTGAATTCCACAATGAATCTCCAACTGCAGAATATCTACCAACCACCCCATGTGGTCAGATGTGGCACAAGGTCAAATTTAATGTTGGGTAGGCTTGGACAAAAATTCCCTGTAGACCCCATATAAAACAGGGTCAGGTAGCTGTTTCCCAAGATGAGACTCTGCCCTTCAACAAAGCCTTGTCTGGGGATCCTTTCTGCCTGGAAGCAGCATGTTTGACCAGCACAACTAGAGAAAAATCTCCAACTGCAAACCAACATACAGTATATACTACTATATTTATGTGAATGAGACACATATCCATTATTGTCCATAGGTATGCTACAACAGTAACTGTATACAAAGAAATAATAATATTAATGGCAATAATATTAAGATATGATTTACATAATAACAATGGTGATAATAATATTGGATCAAGTAATTACAACAAATGTTTTTCTAATCTGTTATTGATTTGCTTATTTTAATTTTACATCTAGGAGAATCTGAAAATAATAAGAATAATCAGTTGAAGTAATATTATTTTTATTTTATTTTTATTCACTGAAGCCTTGTCGACCATTTATTTTAATTTTAGTTCCTTTATCATTGCAACTTATTCAGACAATTAGCAAATAAACAGCATGGATCAAAAATAAACAATAAACTCCAGGTGAGATACAAACTCAGATCCCTTTAACTTTGAAAAACCAACCTGTTTAAATGGCAACTGCTCTACCAATTGAGCTGGTTTATCACATGGTAGCATTTTTTGTTTCATTTTTTTACCATTACTCTCCTCATCTAGCCCAGAGCTCTGAGCTTATATCCTTTTGACCAGGCTCTGAAACTCTGGTGTGAACCTTGGTTTTGGCTAACATCAAAAGTCTCTTTGTCTTAATTGTTTTGATTGGCCAAAATTATTTTATTTTCTGGCATTCCTTTCATTTTCATTTCTTTTTATATAACAAAAGTTATGCATGGTGCCTATCTTATTTTGTTAAATTTATAGTCATAAATAAGGAGGTTCTGGTCCCGCAAACTTCCAAGAGGAAGAAGAAAAGACTGAAAACAGTCTTTTCTTCTTCCTCTTTTTATTTGATGGTTGCCTTTTTGTTAGTTGAGAGAGAGAGAGAGAGAGAGGGATAAAAGATAAGGACTTTAAATAAAGGCAATTGCCTTTTAAATTGAATTCTTTTTATTTTTGTTTATATATTATTTTTATATTCTATTTTTATCAAGACTCACTATAATTTACGTTGTCCCCATATTATATCCTTGTCCTACTGCTGTAACCTTGAGCAAGACTAAAATTAATGTTTATTATAATTTTCAAATTTAACAAAGTAAAGCAAAAAAAAATGACAAAAAGGAAAACTAATTCATTACCGATAACTTGTGAAAATTTCTTTTTCAAATGTTTTTTCCTGCAGGCTTGATATTCCAGGTTTTGGTATCTTTGAGTTTTGATATTGCTGCTGATCTGACCGAAGGGTTGGTATTTTACCCTTGGGGGCTGAAGATAAGACCCTGTTACAGTACACTGTGTTTTCAGATTTATTTTGTGTCATGAAAACAGGAGCACTTTTGCATCTTGAGTTCTTCAGATGAAAATTTTTTCCTATTTCAAATTTTGAGAAATTTGTCATGTATGTCAAAGGATGTATTGTTTCTTGGCTATAAATTAACTTTTCATTTTCAGAAGTTCTTTTAAGTGGAGTTGTATTGTCAATTTGTGAAGCAGCTGCAAATAAATCAGAGGAGTTATTAATTAACTTTGTCAGATAACACAAAAAGTTAGAATTAATATAAGGGGAAATGTAGTGACAAGTAATATTCTTTATTCACAAGAATACAAATGGTGAGTAATTGCATGATGTTATGGATTTTAACAGGATTGCTGCTAAGTATTTGAAGCTGGATATTTGAAATACTTGAGAAAGCTCCTCCACATTTCCTACTGGGAGCACAAAACCAATGACTGTATGAAGCAAGGTCAAAAGTCTCATGGGTTGACAGGAATCTCTTCTTGCCACTATTAAGTGTTGAGAGATGCTATGGTTTGGCCATGTCACATGGCATAATAGCCTCTGCAGGGGTAGCAATGCAAAAGCTGGTCAGACAACATCAAAGAGTGGACAGACATGATAACACTGAAACTCCTAAGAGCCAACACCAACAGATCATTCTGGGGGAGGTTGTCTGTTTTTTTCTGACCTTAAGACACTGTAATGATTGAAACAGTCAAATGACTGATGATGTATTTTATCAGTCAAAAAAAACTTTTTCAGACTGAAGTTTATATATCATATTCTCCCATAAGAATAAGAAAAATATAAAAAAAAAGATTCAAGGGAAGACAGATATTGATATATAATAATATTATGGTTTAGTTTGTATTAGAAGTAGTTTTAGTGAAAAAAAATGACAAAGTGGGAAACATTTTCATGTGACACATTTCATCCTTTTGAACTTCAATGGACTAAAGGACAAGACATGTCATATTCCTAAAATTGTTCTTGATATATAAAAACTTATATATCACTTTCCATCTGAATCTTGCATAGACAAACTAGAATTATGATACACATACATACATGAATTATACACATGAATGCTACTTGACAAGACAGATGCATGTGAGGTCTGCTTAACCAATGAAAAACAAACAACACAAAAATTAAAAATAGCAGAATTTTCTTATTCCCTATATTTAATTCTCTGATGAAGCTTTAATAAAAAGGGAAACATGTTAGATTTATAAACAATATTCTAGTTTTATTTTCTGATTCAGGGCAGAATTTTACATAGATTAAAATTAATTTTTCAGTTGATTTGATTTCTCTGGGAACTAATCTTTAAAATATCTTTAAAAATGCCAATATTAGATGCTAAAATTATATTTTAAGATTTCACAAATTAAAGGCTGGTTAAGACTGGCTTTAAATTTCTGTAAATTTCTCTTGCCAAATTTCCTTTTCAGAAATAATTTCATTCAATGAATGAATAAGTATCCAAAATCTACACACACACACACACACACACGAGATGTTATACTGCTTTTTACAAAGTCATGATACTCTTTACTAATAAACAACTACAAGATTCCACAGAATGGAGTTTAAATTGTACAGTGCATTGAATTTGGATGTAATTTGATGTAATGTTTCACTTCATTGGGTAGTTACCATTCTTGTTCAGTTACCAGGAATCATGTTCTTGCATCACTTGCAGATATCTGCAATATTTTATATGTTGCTGCTGTCTATCCAGAAATTTTATATTCTTTGTATACCCTTAATTATTGTTGCCCAAGAAAAACTTTGAGCAGTGAAAATAGAGTTCTTCATCTCTCTAGCCTCAATAATTGCTATATAATCAAATAATGTTAAATCATGTGCACATACTATAGATGCCACAGCTACACTACCTCTTTACTTATGATGTCATTCACATGTTATCCAGTTATTTTCATTTGTACAAATGGGAAGAGCAAAACCACCCCACATAGCCACTACTTGGAAGATGAAAGAAACCAACTTTAAGGAACATCTAACAGAAATGGCTGGCAAAAATCAAAGTAATGTTCTTATATAGTTTAACTGTTGAGTTTTTTGGGCATTATTAAAAACCAGTTATTTTTCCCCCAGAGATGAAAATAGAGTGAACCCTGTGATAGCAGTGAGTTAAACAGAGGAAAGAAGGATTCATAAGGTAACACTTCACTAATTTATGCCCAAGACTAAGTTGTTTTTCTTCACTTTTTTACAACTTAATATGATAAAAAGAAAAACTTATTTTCTAACCAATCTATATTTGCCATATTATATTGGCCTTGAGGTCCTACTAAGCTATACACAAGAACATAATCCAAGCCAAATTTTTATCTTTATGATCTGCCTCTTCTACTCCTACCAGCCTTATTTTCTCTCTCTCTCCCTCTCTCTCCTTAGATTTCACAAAAATTTTGACTCAGTACAAACAGAGACTCCTTCACCTTACAAGTGGTCATATTTTTTTTTTTTTTTTTAAGCATTTCCCCCTAGCAAGGCAGGAAGCCACTAGCACGCAAGGGGTTACAGAGGATTTGGAGCGAGAGCAGATAGGAGTGATAGAGGAAAGGATGAGGAGAAGGATAGTGGATAGATCAAGGCAACTGGAGATGTTAATTGACATTACATTTGAATAGTTGGAGATTATAGCTATCAGAGAAACAGGAATAAGGAAGGTAGTTCCACAGGCGAGAGGTGTGAGATATGAAGCTGTTGGAGTAGAAGAGGCGGCTACATTTAACAGTTTCAACAGTGAGAGGGTGGGAGTGGGATGCCAGCCTTGTAGGATGCTTGAATTCGTGAAGTAAATTTAAGACTTCTATATGCATCATCCTGAACTACATATGAATTCTCTAAGTTGAATTGATATTACACTATTGGATACCGTGGGGAAAATGAAATAAAACCAATAAATAAAATAATAATAATGAATGCAAAAAAAATATATTAATTAATTTTCCCATGATGCAAGTTATAAAGAAACTGGAAAGAGTTTCTGGTCACATATGTGATTTTATGACCCCACTTCTAGAAGACAGAATCTTTTGCTTTCTACTCTTGGCTTCAAGATGTGAACTATACGGTAATAGTGTTCCCACTGGGGAATGTTAGTCTGCCAATGCCCAAATACCCCCCCCAACCCCGGTCCTCTGTTTATGCAGCCCTACCTAAAGTAGAGATTCTTTTGAAATCCCAACTCAGTGCATGGCTGACTTGAGCTTGACCATCTTTACCTATTTGTATCCTTACTTCTCATAAATTATTTCAGAACCAAAAAGAAAAATGGTTACACTTAGTCTTCCCAAATCAGCATGTGGCTGATGTGAGTCTGACTATGTTTAGCCATTCATATCCTTACTTCGCATAAATCATATCTGAACCAAAAAGAAAACAGACATACTCAAGAGACCTTTTAACTTTATTTCAACACAGTCAATGTAAAAGGAATAAAATGTTCGTAGCAGAAACACAAGTTTTTATATGCTTCTTCTATCTTCTTTGTTTACATACAGAACACACACATTCACCTAAAAAATGCACACAAAACCTACAACCTTGTTAACATCCACAGTACTGTTTATAGCTTTGGTATAAATACAGAAAAATATTTAAAAAATGAGCAGATTTGTGTTGTCATAACAATCCAATCAAAAGCAAAATGTTGATACAACTTGTAAAATATTTATAAACTACAATAAGCACAAATTACCAAAAAATTACACATAGCATTACATAGGATGGTTTCACTTTCTTCCATGTATAGAGATTCAACTGGATGACATGTGTGAAGGGTAAAGAGGTAGTAGAGTTATAGCATTTTTGAGAGTAAAAAACAACAACAAAACTTACCTATAATTTTCTGACTCTTTTCATTGTAATCTTTTTTGTGGTTAATTTTTTTTTCTGCTGACATTTGTTGTTGTCTCTCAGCACTCTTTAGGCGAAGATTTCTCTGCATCTGTCGCAGTTGGTGCCTACAAAACAAAAAAAATCCCAGAAGTTCTTAGATTTTAGAGAATACCACTAAAATATCTTATGGAGATTTCTATTAAAGAGTTACTTCTCTTGTAACTGGTACCATTTTTATTCATATTTCACTCATTAATATATGCATGAAAAAAGCAACACCAGAATAAAGCTATTAAATCTATAATGTATGTGAATCTTACCAGGAATTTAGCAGTTGTATAGGGAAAAAAGAAATATAAAGGATCTTGGTTTTATTAAACCACAGCTGAGAGTTACCAATACTGAATGACACATGGCTCAGTGGATAAAAGAATTGGTTGAAGTAACCCAGAGTTGGGAGTTCAATACCTGGCCACAGCAGAGGTGAACAAAAACTTGGAGAGTTGAGTTACTAAAGGGAAATAACTGAAACTGAGATATCCAGAAAAAAGGCATGGCATGTGGAACTAGAACAATTTACCTTGGTGGACAAAATAAAAGGTTCAGTTTGAAATTCCAACGTATATCACCTGAAGAAGGCTGGAATGTACAATGGCCAAAATGTTGTGAATATGACAATAAAGATGAAGACAACAGTCCAAACAATGTAAATAGTGTAAATGTCAAAATAGTTCATTTGAAAACCTGTAACATATTCAGTAATATGGAGCAACCAAAGAGGTTTGTGGCTGCTTTAATCTTATATTCAGTAAAATGACATGATTAAATGATGATTAGGATCAACTAAAGACTGGTCACCTAGTCCTGAAGTGGATTTGTGAATGCATATATAAAGGTGACCAGTAAAGGTTTTTTACTTAAGTTCTTCATCCTTGCTAACAGCCTTCAATAAATATTTTGTATTTTTGAGACTGCTGGTTGATTTTTCTCTTGACAATGCCTTAGATATAGTAGTCCAGAGGGTTCAGATCAGGAGAGTAAAGGAGTCTATTTGTTGGGAAGAGGGTGATATGATTGTGAAAATTTCACCCTACAACTCCTGGGTCATGTAGATCATATGGAAGGGAGTAGATTCTTGCTGGAACATATATGGTCACCTTGTCAGTCCAGGGCTTGATCACTATGTTCACCACATCAATGACCCTGAAGCTCTTCAAAGAGAACTTGGGTGGTATGTACTGACCCTTGTTACTGGTAACACCTAGAACCATCATAGGCAATTATGAACTTGGTTTGCCTCACTGTAGTTCCCTACAAGTGTTTAACACAGATCCACCTTTCTATCATTCCTCCTGTACATCTCTGGTTATTTCCTAATTGCTGAGGTTGATGGCTACTTCAATGAGTATAGAGTATCAGATTGGAAGCTGCCATATTAATGCTCTCAATATGTCTGGAAGAGATTAGAGAATTAAAATTTGATATAGGCCACTTAATATTGTCTTCTATTAATAGCCTGCTGAAGATGTTTCTCAGATCTTACACCTCATGGATATACAGAGCAACTTCAGTTCTTGAATGTCTTACATGTTGAACAAATCAGTTTTCAAACAGAAAATTTGAGATGAAAATGCTTTGATTATTGAACAGAATTCCAGTTCTCGAACAACATTGCTGAACTGAGTTAACTTAAAATGGAATCATTTCTGAGTCGACTGCTGTGTTGTATCCATTTATGTGTTGTGCCATGCTTTTTTTTAAAAAAATTTATTGTACTGTGATTTTTTTCTTTACATTGATTCCTATTAGAAAAATAGTTTCGGGTTATGAACGACCTTCAAGAACAAATTAAATTCATGAACCGAGGTTCCAATGTATATTTCATCTTGTTTGAAATTTTTAAATTTTCATTGATATAGCAACTTTTTACATGATGAATGCTTTCTTCATGGGAAACCAAGGAAGTCTCATGTTTCCATATAATTCTGCTTGCTCCTCTGCCATTACCTCAGATAAATAATGGAACATTTTGCTTTGATTGCAAGAAAAGTTGAAAGGAAAAAAATATATCAGAGACATTGTTTGATTTTAGGGAAAAAAGAAAGAATGAAAAAGAAGATGGGGGAGGTGATAACACTGTCTTATGCATTTAATGTCTGCTTCAGTGAAAGAGCACTGCTAATTTTGAATCCTTTCATTTGTACCCTCTTGCTTATTTAAATAACTTCATTCATACTTATGATTATTATTGTAATATTTGATTGATTGATTCATTTTCTATAGTTTATTAACCCTTTGCCAGTTATTTAAAGCCAGAAAATATTTTTATATTGTAAGACTTTTTTTTAAGATAATAATGATTTAGTGATACAAATCTTACTAATTAACCAATAGCTGGGAGGGAGAATAAGGAGATTCATACGTTTCCCTTGGGTATTTGCGTGTAAGTGAATATAATAAACCCAACTGAAATTGCAACTCGGTTCTCCAATTAACAATTCTGATTCCCAAGTGGTCACCCATCTAGATAATGACCTCGCTTGACATTGCTTAACTTTAGTGATTGTATGGAAACCAGTGTTTCAAAAATATATGGCCATAAATCAGGCAATAGGAGAATTTCCAGGTGTATTTTACAATGATAGAACTCTCAACGAGCTTATTCAATCATTAACTTAAGAATTATGACTAATCAGAAAATTCTAATAGGAAAAATTAAATCTTTCCCAGGTACTGATATTTCTTATAATTCTTTTTATTTCCAATGTTTATAATATTATAATCTTTTACATGTTTAAGTTATCATGGAAATAAAAAGGTGACCCTTATGTAACCATAACAATAAAGTTTTTCATTATTTATGAGTAGTGAAACCAGTTTGCTAATAATTATTCAATGACATGTGAGTATTCTTATAGACAGAAAAACAACTAAACAGAAAAAATCTCTGTGTACAGCATTTTATTTTCATATAATATTCAAAATAATCTTAACTGAAGACTATTAAATAAATTTGATCATATTTTTGTCAAACATGAAATATTAGAAATTTTTTATAATTATTTACTGAGCTTGGTTCAGCACAAGACCAACAGCAGGGGAACCCAGTTAAGATTGATTGATTTGTTTGTAGATGGTAAAATATATTGTTGGTAATTTTACTATAACAATGTATTTATATATTTTTTTTAGTATTGCATTGATTGTCATCTTGCTATAAAAATATATTGTTGCTCATTTCATCAAAAAAATGTACTGTTGAGTTTTGTTTAGGGATTCACTATTTTCCCATAACTAGGACCCTAACAGGTGCTACCACGCTGGGTCAGGGTGGACCTGGAATGACAGTAATTAAGAGGCAGTTCCATGTTCTTCAAAACCTCCAATCTCACAATCAGAGGTCTTGCCGCCAGATGTATATTATCATCATACTCAGGACAAAGTAAGGATTGAACTCACTACTCAATTGTTATAAACTTCAATACTAACCATTATTCAATACCCTCATGTATATATTTTTTAATATTGTTTTTATTTATAGTTCTAAAAAAATTAATTATACTATAAATATATCATTACTTAAATAATCTATAGGAGGTAAAAAATTTTATTACTGCTAACAAAACAGACATATTTAAATTGTATATTGGATAAAAAAAAACACAAGGAATGAGGGAAGAAGAGCAACAATAATGAAATAAATCTGAAATTGCTGCTAGGAAAGTCAGTTCCTATTTTGTGCTAGACTATTTTTCTTGTTAGAATCTATCTTACATATTCATAAGTCTACCATTCTTTCATGCTATGAATATTCCTGATACATCTGATCTGATGCTTCTGCTATATATTTAGAAATTTTTGATAAATGTTATTGGTTCTGACCTGGCATCTTGGCTTCAGTCATTTTCTCACCACTGCTTCTCTGTGCTTTTTCTATAAATATTTTCATGGTAATTCTTCTGATGAGCTTTTATGTATGGTATCTAGAATTTACAAATTTAAGTGCATTAGTAGATTTTACAGTCAAAATGGCTAGATGCAACCGTAAGTTCTATGCTAAAAGTTTCTTCTCTTGCACATCTTGCTTATGGAATTCTCTTTTGGCTTCTTACTTCCCAGTTAACTTTGATCTTCAAAAATTTAAATGCAATGTCAATTGTTATCTTCTAACTTCTTAATTCTTATTCTTTTATTGTTCTCTCTTAATAATTTTGTTTTAGTATTCTCTCTTGCATCTTAGTGGTTTTATTTCTTTGGTTAGGGTAAAATGGTTTTTAAAAAAAATCACTGTAAAAAGGTGAATCAAAACACTATCAACAATCATTTATTTTGTTGATATTGTCTTGATTGATCTATTTACAGTGATTTATTTTATTATCCTCCCCCCACTGTTCTTTGACTTTTTTCTTATATACAATTTTAACATTTTCGATTATAGAACATGTCCTTTTATAAACAAATATAAAATTATTAATATACCTCTCTATCTGTCTGACACACCAATCTTCTCCAAAAGTATTTTCATCTCGACCGTGAATTAAATTCAAGACTTTTGCACTGTTTCCTCTGTTGAAAAAGGTAGACAGAAATTTAAATTAGGCAAACTTTTTCAAAAGATATTAACTCTTGAATACTGTTTTGTTTATTTAGGACTAAACTTCAAATGCATTCAAAATGCAGATCAAACAGACACTGTGGTAATTGCCAAAGATAATTTATTCACTCACCTTTTCTTCAGACAATATCTCCTCTATATACACATTCACAAATACACTTGCAAGAAAAATGTTTCTTTTTCTTTCAGCATTGATTAAATAGAGGCACAGTGGAGTAATGGATTGCAGCTCAGACTGAGGAATCTGAGAGCCATGTTTGAATTCCAGTCAAGTTCATTGCATTCATTTATGTGCTAGTACCCTTGGGAAAGGTTTGAATCGTTCTACTCTCTCTTACCCACCGCCACTATGAATAAAATACAACAGACTGGGTCCTATAGTCCTTATAGTATTTTTGAAAATTTCAAATTGTCATCTTCAAGGTGCAATTTTCTTATATATAGGCAAATATTAAGACGAAATATGTGTAGACAAAAAGATGTTTTTTTTTTAAATTATGCTATTGACTGACAGTTGAATATATGTTTTGGGGTGAGCAAAGTCATGATGCTAGAGTTCTTGTTCAAATCCATCAAGTGAGAATTGACATGTATCTCTCTTCTGATGACAACTCAAATATAAGGATCTTATTATTCAAAAGAATTGATATTAAATTAATGTCTCATTGTCCTGTTAGTGAAGTGATTTCAACATTAATCACCTTAATATTGCTATTTAATTCTTGGTATAAGTTGTTTCTTTATGATATAAAATATAAGCTGCATACTATATATATATATATATATATATATATATATATATATATATATATATATATATATATATATATATATATATATATATATATATATGGAGGCATGGTGGAGTAATGGATAGCGGCTTGGATTGAGGAATCGGAGAGCCGAGTTCGAATTCAGTTGAATCCATTACATTCACTTATGTGCTAATACCCTTGGGAAAGGTGTGAATCCTCTTCTTCTCCCTCCAGCTATGGGTAAATAGCAAGACAGCCTTGGATGGCAAATGGTCTAGGAGAAGGAAAACTCTGAATTCAAAACCTGCAGAGAGTCATTTGGGGACCTTGTGGCATGTAGTGCACCAGGTCTCTGTAATCGGTCCTTCAAAAAGTGTGGATGGTCACCACTATAATCAAATCTCATGTGCTATACATGTGGGTTGGGGACTGCTTGTTAATTCCAAATTCCCATGAAACTCCAATATTGGAGCTGGCTCAACCCACCTCGGGTGAATGCCGTTACAAGAACAAAATATATATATATATTATATCACTTAAATGTTATTTTTAATGAATACTCATATCTGAGTAGACACCCCCATTTATTTATTAAACAGTACATTTATTTATTTTCATCTACCAGCCTGAATATCCAAGAAATCTTATTAAAGAAAAATATGGGCTCTCTGGCAGTATTCAAATATGCATTCTTCTTTTCAGGAGAAACTGCTGTTAGATCTGGCATTCTCTTGAACAACTCATCCAGAGTGTGTCACTGATCAGGTAAAGTCAAATAGTGCCTTATAAACACAAATCTTTCCCAGATTCTGAAAACATTTATATCTGCTCAGTTTCATATCCTAATGTAAAAAAAGTAATTTTTAAAGAAGTAATGGATTTTTTTATTTATTAATCTAATAGACTTTAGCATTTAAACATTATTTTAGTGGATACTCATATTTGAGTAGATACTCTGTTTATTTATTAACATTATATTTATTTTCGTCTACTGATCTGAATCGTGGCTAAGTCAGTCTAAAGCATGTCAGATCTAACAATGATTTTACCTGCAAAGGGTGTGCATGCTTAAATTCTGCCAGAGTGTGCATATTTTTCTTTAATAATATTTCTCAAGTATTCAGGCCAGTAGACGAAAATACATATACTATTTAATAAATAAATGGAGTGTCTACTCAAATATGGGTATTCACTAAAAATGACATTCAAGTGATAAAATCTGTCAGATTGATAAATAAAATATTCATTATTTCTTTAGAAATATTATATAAATATATATATATATATATATATATATATATATATATATATATATATATATATAGACTAGTGAGGATACCTGACATTGCTCAGAAGATCTCTAAATAATAGTTTATTATTGAAAATTTACTTATATTTTTCAACCATCTTATGGAAAATAATTGTTTATTCAATCTTTAAAAACTAAACTTCATTGTTTTTTTGGTTTGTTACAAAATAACTAAATTTCGGAAAATACCACACTGCCAATACCATGCTGGTGGGTAGGGGCTGAGTATCCCCATATTTTTATTCAAAAAGACACTTTAATTTAAATAAAACATAGTTAAATTTGTAAAACAAATATTCACCATGACTAATGTTGACCGTAACTCATGTCTGTCTCTTCTAATTTTTATTTAATTAATTTTTTTTTTCTTTTAAAATCAAAATATAACTTCAAATGTAAACATAATCACTTTTCAAAACTAAATTCTCAACATATCTTGCTTCTATTTTCTTTCAAAATAGTTAGTAATTAAATTCATTTACAGAGAAATGTTTGCTTCTTTAATGTAATGTTTAAAAGTAAAACTTTATTTACTTAAAAAATCTAAATTCCCCTCCAAAATAAATAGTAAATAATTATTTTTCGAAGAAGTAAGGCTCACTACAGTTTTTGCTTTAAAAAATGATTATATTAAATATGTTTAAATATATCTTAATTTAAGTTCATTTACTTTATTTAAAATATTAATAAGTCAATAATCCACACAAACGCACACAACTGCCCTTTAGGATGATACTGAATCTGTATATATATTTATTTTGTTGTAATTATTGTAGTTTTTAGTTTTAGCCAGACATAGAGACACTCAAATATTTGAATAAGTAAATATTAAACTTTTTGTCAAATAATTGTATTTAATATTCTTCTTCTTCTTTTAAATTTACTTTGTTGCTTTAATATTAATTTTTTTAAAGTTACACTTTTATTTAGTATAGATGTGAAAATAAATTCAGAAGAATAGAAATTTTAAAAATACATATATGCATAGCATTTCAAAAGTATCAGCAGAATTAACAAGTAAAAAAGAAACGGTAATAATAATTGGGAGTAAGAATTATTACTGTTCATTTTTACTTTTCAATTCTGAGAATTTTGAATGCATTCTGATGCATTTTAATTTGAAAATATTCTAATAAATATAAATCATACGATAATTTTTTTACAAAAAGCTGGCTTGGGTGATAATGAGTATATATATATATATATATATATATATATATATATTTTGTTGATAATTATTGTAGTTTTTTTAATTTTAATCAGACACACATACAGACAACTCCCTATATATATATATATATATATATATATATATATATATAAATAAAAGAGTGAGCACTAAGGTCATCACTGTGTTGTAACAGTCTGTTTCATGCTTGGATGCAATCTTCATAAAGATTGCATTCAAGCATATAAAAGTGGACACTGAAGTCAGTACTGAGTGGTGAAAGTGTTTCATGCTTGAACACAATCTTCAAGTCATGTGTGTTGTTTGTTGGCTCAACTATTTATATATGCTGGTCAATGGGGCATTATGGGTAGCAAGAACATGTATTTCCGGTTTATTGTATTCTAATAATTACAATTTCAAATTATTCTAAAGGCTGTTGAGTAGAAATAATTGTGAATCCGAATGCAGTTATTCGTAATTATTGTATAGGGTTCTTTGTTGACTTTTGGAATTCTTGCCATTCTTCTTCTATATACCACATCCCTTCAGGACATGGGTGATCATGACTCTCCAAGACTTCCTTACCCTTATGGTCCTTAGTAGTTTTTCTTCTTTTGTTAAGGGTCTTGTCTTCCCATTCCACTATCCATTCACCCAAGCTCATCAGATAGGTGGATCACTGCCTTTATCTATTACCCTCGATATGCTCTGTGAGGGTTAAGTTTTCTAAGAGTGACTTCCTCATTATGTGTCTAAAGAATTTTAGCTACTTTCTTCCTGATTCTGAGTATGCATTCTTTTTGTTGCCATTTTTTTGTTATGTTTTGCTTACTTGCTCTATCCATGGAATTCTCAGTACCCTTCTGTAAAAACCACATTTCTTTTGCCTCCCATTTTCTCCTCATTTGTGGAGAGATTGTCCAGCATTCACAGTCATATAAGAGGATAGATATCACATAGCAATCCAGCATTCTTTTCTTTGTTTCGAATGAACTTTTTCTGTTTCCCAGCACTTTGTTTAGTTTTTGTAATGCCTCTTTTGTTACCCCAATGTGTGTTTGGATTTCAGAATTGCATTTTCCATCCTCTGCTAAAACATTTCCCAGATATTTAAACTTCCGCTCCTGCTTGATGTTGACATCTCCAATTTATAACTCACATCTTGGGCTTTTTCTCTTGCTGATGACCATACTTTCTGTCTTCTTGCAGTTGATGGTTAGTCCATTTTTCTTGCTTTCATCTACTACCTTGTCTAGGAGGTCCTGTAGTATTCTTACCAAGTCAGCCATTAACACCATGTCATCAGCATATCTTATATAGTTAATATTATGTCCACTGATAATAAATCTTTGGAGGAACTGAAACTCATTTAGGATAGCCTCTCTGTAGAGGCTGAATGAGATAGGAAACAGGTTTAAAAATGAAACACAGTGAATCAAAAAATGCTGGAAGTCTAAGTGAAAATGTTCCTAGAAGTTGGGGAAAAGCTTTAGGACAATCCACTGAGTTAAGAAGAGAGTACTATGAAGTACTATAAAGGAGGCAAGCATTTCAAGCTATTATTTGGAGTTATATTCTTACATATGTGTGAGTGTGTATAACATTATGGCTTTGTCTTGCAAACTATGATTCAGGTCTGCTTCTGATTTGCCTGGTCCATGCAAAACAGTTTTTTTTTCCTCAAGTGTGTATTAGAATAGGATTGCTGACAGTAATGCTTAGAAGACTTGAACTGCCTAATCCTCTTTATCCTAAGTCTGTGGATTGATTCAGTATGGGCAGTTGCCTGGAAATGGTTGTGGCACAAAGAAGGCATGTCAACAGCCTCTTTAATGAATTTGTGCTAGTTAATACTACAAGAGAGTATATTTTTAGGGAATCTCTGTATCTCTTCCACAGTGCTCTTCTGTTGGCTAGAGGCCAGTTCACTGATCAGTAGGTTTTTGAAAAGATGATGGTCTTCTACTCTTGATATATTACCAGCCCAGCTTCTTTTTTTTTTTTCAGCAGCAGTACTTTGATGCTGAAGTCTTTGGTACTTCTTTAAGGGGGGGTGCTAAGGTTGCTCAAGTACACATTAGTGTCAGTACTGGTGAAAGTATTCAAAGAGGCACAGGTTTTACTGTACATGACTCAAGATGAGACCCCAGAGAGGCAAGTGAGCAACAAGATGGCTTTATAAAAACCTTATGTCTTCTTTTAAGTTTTAATTTATCTAGACACAAGTCTTTCATACAAAGAAAGCAGTTTATCATAATCATGGGTAATTTTATGAAATTGTTATTGTTGTCAAAATCAGTCAGTCCCAAACTTTCTTGAATTAAAAAGTAATTTCAAGTCAATAAATTCTGTATTCATTTTTTTATAATGTAAAGTCGTTTATAACAATATAATTAATTAATGATCCAGAAAAGCTATGGATTCATAATTTAAATAATTATTATAATATTAGAACAAATTTTAAGTGTAATTCAAAGAGTGAAACAGTTGTTCACTAACCGAGAGAATTTTGCAGCAAATTTGTCCAATCGAATATCAAACTCGGATTGTTGAGACTGAAAGAAAAGAAATAATAAAGAAAAAATAGAATACAGTATTTTGTGTTATAGAAGAAAACTTTGATTTTGAGTGAAAAAACTGTCACAAAAACAATTTGATAAATGTGTCTAGTCAGCTAACAAAAAGTATATATCACCTCTAGTTAGTGATAGACAGAGAAGAAAGAAAGAGAAATGATAGTAAAAAGAATAAATGAAAAGAAAGAAAAGAATGAAAGAAAACGAGAAAAAACAAAAAGAAATGAAAGAAGACAAAAAGAAGGAATGAAAAGAAAAAAGAAAGAAAAAGAAATGAAAGAAGAAAAATGAAAGAAAAAGAGAAAAACAAAAAGAAATGAAAGAAAAAGAGAAAAACAAAAAGAAATGAAAGAAGACAAAAAGAAGGAATGAAAAGAAAAAAGAAAAAGAAATGAAAAAAAAATGAAAGAAAAAGAGAAAAACAAAAAGAAATGAAAGAAGACAAAAAGGAATGAAAAGAAAAAAGAAAGAAAAAAATATGAAAGAAGAAAAATGAAAGAAAAAGAGAAAAACAAAAAGAAATGAAAGAAGACAAAATGAAATGAAAGAAGACAAAAAGAAGGAATGAAAAGAAAAAGAAATGAAAGAAGAAAAATGAAAAAGAGAAAAACAAAAAGAAATGAAAGACAAAAAAGAAATGAGAAGAAAATATGAAAAAAGATGAAAGAAGAAAAATATCTTCATTTAAAAATTTTTTTACAGCTTATCAACCTTTTGCAGGGTATTTAAAGCCAGAAAATATTTTTATATTGTAAGAATTTTTTTGGAGATGAGGATTTACTGATACAAGTCCTGTTAATTAACCCATAGCTAGGTGGAGAAGAGGTTTTTGTGCATCGGTGAATGTAATGGACCCAACTGGAATTGGAACTCAGCTCCCTGAGTTCCAATTCTGAGTTTTTATCCATTACACCATCTGCACATCCACACTTACAGTAATTGGTATTCGTAAGTGGTCACCCATCTAGATACTGACCAGGCTCAACATTGCTTAAGTTTGGTGAGTGTATGAGAACTGGTGTTTCAACGTGATATTGTGTAAACCTAGTTAGTTATGGACAAAGAAATAAAGGAATCAATAAAGAAGAAATGAAAGAAAAAATAAATGAATAGAATGAAGAGAAAAAACAAAAAAGAAATGAAAGTAAAAAAGATGAAATGGAGAAAAGAGATGAAAGAAGAAGAATACCTTAATTTAAAAAATTGATTTTGTCATAATACCAAAATGCCTTTAAAAGAAAATTGTCAAAATTGGTGGACGTTTGTTTATTGATTTGTAATGCTGAAAAAACATATACTCTAATTTTTTTTATTAAAAGTAAATTAAATATGCAACTCAAACAAAATAAGACAAAAAAGAAATGTTGTACGGTTCATGGACTGTAAATGACTGAATATATTGAAATTGTTTTATGAAGTTTAATCCTGGAGATTTATCATTCAACACTGCTCCAAGTAGAACAGTTGAGGTTTATATTGATCAAATGAAGACATTACTTTTGAATAATCAATGTTACTCAATAACTTCAAATTGAGGTAAAAAGGAAAGAGAAAAAAAGAAAGAAGAATAGACTGACAGGGTTGTAATGTATTAAGTATTTTCTCATGCTCTTTACAAAAGACATCTTATTCTAGGGAACATAATGAGGAAAGAAGGCTTGAAAAATTGATATTCACAGGATAGATTGAAGGCAAAAGTTGACAGAGGAAATCAATACATAACCTATGTTACAAGCTAGAGTAAATGGATGGCAGAACAGGGTTTAGGAGAGATAACAAAAAGATTATTAAGTGCTATAAAGGACTGGAAATTATGGAGAGCCACTACTGCCAACATCCTGAAGGGACACAGCATGTAGAAAAAGAAGAATGAGGTACATTATCTACATTCAAACTATTGTCCTTATCTTTGTTATTATTATCACAACATTTCAATTATTCTACCTTCTAGTCTTTATTTTCAACTGAGTATGATGATGAAAAATAAGAAAAATATTTTACAGTTAGACTAATGTCCTTATCTTTGTTGTTATGATCACAATATTTGTGCTGTTGCATTCTTCAGCCTTCTTCAGGTGTTTGTTGAATGCTGGGAAATTTGTCCTGGCTTTCCCACATCAAAGGGTTGAAGTTAAAAATTGCGACAAAACGCTAATAAAAACCACCAGATTAGAGCAGACAAACTCTCTCTTTTAGGTGAACAAATAAAGAAAAAACTCCTTCTCAGTGTATAACAATAAAAGAAGAATGTGTTTATTTACATATACAGAAAAAAAGGGTAAAGGGATACAGACAATTAGGAGAGAAAGAAATGGAGAAGAAAATTTCCTTTAAGGGAAGAGAAAATGTTCATAACAGAAAAAAGGCTTGCTCAAAATATTTCTCTGAGTAACTAAAAGTTCTTTAAGCAAGTAGAAGGTTGTTAAGGTTTAGAAACACTCACAGTTTTCCTCACAGTTCTTGTAGAGTAAGAAAATGTTGGTAGATATAGGAAATCTGCAGTTGAATGAGTTCGTAGGTCGACAACAATAGTCTTGTAGATGAAAGGAAGCAGCTTTCAACTGGTCTGTAATAGTGGGCTGACATTCATTCTCAACAGCCATTTAGTAGGTAGTTCTTCTTTGGTTGAAAGTGGTTCTGAAGTTGACCGGTGCTCTCTATTGCTGACCTCACAGATAGTGGGCCAAATTCTCACAGCCAAATAGGTGAAGATTCTACAAATTTATGGAGATTTGGGAGGATTTGAAGGATCAGGGACTTTTCCCTCCAAAATCGTTATACAAATTTCCTGGCCCCTCCATTGATCAGAAAACACATTCTTATCTCTAATAATAATCAAGGCTTTGGGAGCTGGTTTTGAAGGTAATGAAAAAGGTTGGAGTGAACAAGCTGTGAGGTTTCCCCCAGACTTTATGGCACCATGGAAAGAATAATAGTGGTGGAATTCCTTTTTATATTTTCCAGCTCTCTCGTTAGTCAGAAAATATATTCTTATCTCTGATTAGAATCAAAGCTTTGGGAGCCAGTTTTGAAAGTAAGAAAAAAGGTTGGAGTGAGGTTTGGAAAAATAGGCTAGAATGTGAACTTGTAAAATATTGTTCTCAAATTAAATTCCAATATGATCTGAGTAACCTTCAGGGAATTTCAAACTGAAACTTTTATTCTCTAAATCAGTGTTTATCAACCTTTTAAAGCAATGGCACAACTCGAAGCAAAAGAAAATATCATGGCACACTTAGAGAAATTTTTAAAGGGTATACATTTAAATGTTATGAAATAAAACCATAGATTTTTAAAAAATACACAAACAAATATGAACTTACTTTATTTCAATGTTTCTATTCAACTATTTGTGCAGCTTATTTAGTGTGAAACCTATGCCTGGTGTAATATATTTTTAAAAAATTGGGAATTTAAATCAAATGCTCAATGCTGCGTATCAGAAACTGACTATATTAATTAATAATTCAATATAACTTTGTAAAAATTTTGAACCAAACAAAGAATGTTGAATACAATTATATGAAAAAAAGGTTAATATTCATTTATTCAAATAAAGGAAAATTTTAAAAAGTTAAATTAAAAAACTTTTAAAAAAATGAATATTAAAACAAAGTATTTAAAATAACATAATCAAAGAATAGTGAAAAGAATTATTTGAAAAAGAAGTTTAATACTTATTCATTTATTCAAATACTAATACTGTACCATTACTACTTCCACACACACATATATATGTATGCCATAACAATATTTTGCAACACACTTAAGTGGATTGCACTAGTGTGCCATAGCATGGTGGTTGAGAATCACTGCTCTAAATCTGGATTGACAAGCACTTGAAAGACTGAGGTCACAATGGCAGTAGTGTTGGGATAATAACAACAAAGATGAAGACAATAGTCTGAATGTAAATAATGATAACTGTTCATACCAGGAATTCAAACAGAAATCAGTGAGGTACATTAAAATATAAGTTGATGGGGTAAGTGACAGTGATTCACATTTTTTGGGGAGAATCTTTTGAGTCTGAAGGTGCATATGTATATTTTTTATTCTGAAAACATAGTTTTCTCACATAACCCCAAAATTTTATCATCCAGTAAATCTGTAGAGATAAGCCTCTGGTATTAATTCCAATGTACAACTGATCTATCAACCAAAATATAATAGATTTGAGGAAAATGAAATAGAATCAGTAAATAAAATAATAATAATAATCTCTATCTATAAAAGGCAGGATGTGTGTGTGTGTGTAATGAATGCACGGCTGCAATTTTCAATGGATTGCACCAAAATTTACATGTACATGCTCCAAGTTAGCGGGAAGGCCAAGACTGATGTTGCATTTCCCAACTCCCAACGATTCTCTTGCTTAAACTCAATGTTGATTCTGATTCGGCAGAACTGGGTTGGGTGGGAAAAAGTATTTGTTGTTAACATTCTTTTTTCATTTAGTTTTTCCAGTTATGAGTCCTTTTTTAAAGCTGATCATTTTGTGTTCATTTTGTTTAGTTCTTTTTTCGTAACAGATTTAATGTTTAGTATAGAGCTTAGAAAAAATTAGCAGTGTGAGATAGGCAAGAAGTAAGGCATGTAGCAACATCAGCACAGCAAAGAGCACTCCTTTAAAGGCAAGGAATGGCAAAAATATTTTAAGTCAAGTGATAGCGATTAGTGTATGAGTCGTACGATTTTTGAATCAAGCACGGGCAATGCCGGGCCATGCTGCTAGTGAATAATAAAAAAGAAAGAAAAAGAAATACATTTTCCAATGATGCTAGTAATAAAGAAACCAGATTGTATTACTCCACGTGTTTTCGTCAAATATCCATTAGGCATCACTGTTTGAGTCTATAAAAAGACAAACATTTTTCCTTCCTTTTTCTCTAAGATGTAGCAAAGTGTGTTTGAAGACATCCCTGCTGGGACATGTTCATTTCCCCAGTCAACTCTCTTTCCACTTTTGAGTGCATGGTATTTGCATGTGTCTTCCAAAATCTCCATCTATGAAGTAAATCAATCTTTTTTTGGTTGTTCCAATTCAGAGCAAGGCTGACTTGAGCTTAACCATTATAACCATGCTTATCCATACTTACTCTAACGTCTGAACTAGAAAAAGAAAACAGACATACCTAAGAGAAATTGAGAACTTCCAGTTTATAAAGAAAGGATAAATGGTCTGTAGTAGTGTTGTGACCAAGTAAATGGTTAAGTAATAACAAAAACCAAGTTTGCAGATATATTGTATATTAAACACCAGAAGAGTATTACACAACTAGTGAGAAGGTATTGAACAAACTAGTGCTCAATCTATTCACTGTTGTTTCCCCTGAACCTTCTCTCCTACTAAACTTATAGTAGGTGGAAGAGTCTAACATAGCCTCTTAGAGGGAGGACACCAAAACAAGTAGAAAGTTTTTGTATGCTTCTGTAATTGTTTACATGTGAACATGCACACACCTATGATACACCAACACACAACCTGTAAATTCCATATATACAATGTATTCCTTTAGTATATTTTACATTTTTTTATACTAATGTTCACCCAATACAAATACTATATTTTATACTAATGTTCACACCAATACAAAGCCCTAGAGCCACTCAAGGTAGAGAGTTACTGTGTGGTGTTGTATGAGCATAAGAAAAGACAAGAAGTGAAGTTTATGGGGTTATGCAGAACAGTTAACCGTAGACTTTAAGAGGTCAAGATTGTAGTGATTGGAAAAATATCCTGCCAGGAGTTTGTTCCACAAGCACCAATTCTTGGGAAGAAGCTGTCTGAATGGAATGTATTTCTTACTATTGGAATACAAAGGGAATAGGGATGATTCCCACTTGTGCATGTGACATGGTGAGTCCTAGTTGTAAAAGTCAGGGGTGGTAGGACTAAGAAATGTAGCATGTCAAAACATATGCTATGGAATCCTGGTAATCCTCAAGTCTTTTTTGGTATTTTTTATTATAAATCTCACCCATCTCCTAAATTGTAATTTTTTTTCTTATCAGTACAAAATTTTGATAATGAAGATACTATTACAGATAATTTATAGAATAATTGATCAAATCAACACAAACTGTGTACAAATGTGACTATGTAAAATAACTATTCTACTATAAAGACAAATCATTTACCCAGTGACTGAGTAAATAAGAAAGTTGGCCACAAAACTTAATGTTAAATCACTTTCTACTTATAAAATCTATATTAAGCTTATCTAAAAATAAATAAAGAAGCGACTACTTTATAATCAGACAAACTTCTGCTGAATTTAAAATTTAATGTTAACTTTATTTGTACTCCTACTAATCCTGAATGATTTTTGAACATACATGCTTACACTTTAGAAAACTGTTTAGAGTGTAGACATATTCATGATATAAGAGAAAATGAAAACAATTATCAATTTTGCATAAAATAATGTTACCAATGATAAATGTTTATTTTAAAAACTTTTTTTTATTTTTATAAAAAAAGATACGTAATGTTTTTTTTGAGCGTGAAAACAAAATAAAGATTTTATTATTTCATAGGTGTCATTATTTTATGCATCAATTAATAACTGTTTTGTTTTTTTCATCTTTCAATATTGATATGAATTTCTTTTCCACTTTTGTAACAAACATACAAAAACTGAATCATTATTATTAGGGTGAGTGCAAATGCAGACACAACACTATTATTATTATTATATATTATTATTATATTATTATATATTATTATATTATTATTATGTTACAAACTGAACTGAAAATTGATTCATTCTTTTTTTTCTTTTAACTTAAAGGGTTTTATCAGTATTATCCTAACACAAATCTCAATTTGATATTCAGTTCTTCCTGTGTTATGGAAATATTATATGACCAAATAGTTAGAATGTTAATGTTCTGACTAGGAAACCTAGGTTTAAATATCCCCATAGTTGATTTGTCATGGAGGTCATTTCTTGATAATATGCCTAGGGGAGAGAGCTTAGTGTGTGGTGCCATTGGAAAGTAACTGAAAACCATATCATGGGTTGACCCAAGCTTTGTGAGTGAAACTGAAGATTTTTTGCAAATCTTGGAAGCCATCATGAGCGAGGGTTTGATCATACTGGCACTCAACTATTTACCACACCAGATTGTGTGTACTTTGCCAGGAATATAACTTCAGTTTCTTTCAGCATTGCTGCATTATAAACCACAGTTTGGCTCTGCAGGTGTTGAAGAAATACAAATTTACCTGAGTAGGTGTCTGCAACATGGATTAATTAATTAATTACCCTAGTAGATGGTGTAATTGGAAACAAGCAGTCAGCCATTATGGAAACATACAAACCTATTCACAGATAAAAACTACATGATCATAATATAGGCTCAATTTTAGAAGCTTACCTGAGAATTTTTGTAACTGGATGGATGAGCTGAGGGCGATTTTGACTGAAGAAATTTTTCCTTCTTTACTACTTGAAAACAAAAGAAAAAAAAGTTTAATTTTACAATTTTCATTGTAAATAATGAAATAAAAATTTTTCTTTATTATAATGTAACAGGATGGAGCTATGGAAGAAAAGTTTATTCTCCATTTTGTATTTCCCCTGTCATGGGAATTATTATATCTGTGATATCATAACACTGTAGTTTAGGGATAGAATGGAATGGCTGAAAGGAAAAAAGAGAGATTTTATACTACTGAGACATACACAAAACTATATATACATGTGATCCATGAAGAGAATAATATATCACATATATCTACACAGCAAAGTAGAGTGTAAAGAGAAACAAAAAGAAGGGACTTACATATAATATGGAGATACTCCTGTGTCTGGAGAAACCATGTTTAGGACTCCATATTCAAACAGGCCAGATTCATCTACTATATCCCAGGTGAGGACATATTCTATGAATGGGAAACAGTGAGTCTCAGGTTTTCCCAAATTGAGAACTGCGAGATGGAGTTTCTTTCTATATCTAGGAAAGATATGTTCCCAAAAGGAAATGGCACCATGGACTTATAAGCTGCTGGCGAGGCAGATTTAGCTTCTGCCTCGAAAAGCAACCTCTCTGTTTGGCTGCTGTAAACAAACTGAAATTGACTGCCATGTTTGTCACTGTATGAAGTGATGTTATGAAGCGAGAGTGACATGCTCCACATGAGTTATCTTATGTTGTTGGGAAAGGCATTAATCTGAATCTTCTATTCCCAACTATCAGTTAAATAGCAGGGTATACTGTGCTCATTAGATTTGGGTGTCAACAAGTCTAAAAGCAGGAAAACTCTGAATTTCAAACTGTAAATAATGCAACAGGAAACTACTTCACTATCTTTCTCAAAAAGTCACGAAAATTCCCAGATAATAAAAGAAAAGCATCTGTAGAGTCATAAACACCTACATCATAAAGGGAAATGGCATTTAAAGAAAAAAATGCCAGTATCACCCAGCTATTGGTTAAATAGCAGAGTAGATTGTATTCTCTAGCCTTCAATGCAAGCTAGTCTAGGAGAAGGACTACTCTGAATTTAAAACCATGGAGAAGGCAAGCAGTAAATACCCCTCTATCTTTCTGAAAAGTTCATAGCAATTTACAGATAATAAAGGAAAGTTATCTGTGGAGAAACATAATTACCTATATCCTGAGTGGATCCAGCATTAAAAAACAAAAAAAAAATATGTCAGTATTGTTTAGCTTCTAGAGACTATACAGAGCCTGTTTAAATGAGAAATTTTTACAGAAAATGATTAATAATCTTACAAATAAAAGTGCTTTCTTGAAAATTATAATTAAGATTTTAAGGGTAGAAAAATGTTCAGACACAGACATTGTGATTGATTTTAAAAATGAGAAAAGCATGAAGGTTTAATCAAAGTCATCAGAGTGATTCTAAAATGGTGTATGTTGATATGTGCCCTTTTTTTGTGTGTTTTTCTATTTTTGAAATAAGTAAACTGATCTCCATAAAATGACAAAGGCAATAGTCTGATAGAAAGATTTTTTTGTGAAATTTGGCCTGAATTTTTTCAAAAATCATATTATACATTTTTATTCTGTATTTTTCTCTTGTTTTTTTCTCATTGTACAAAAAAAGCACTTACACTCTTTTAGTATTAGTGATATGAAGTGATGAAGTGAGGTTCTCTTTCTTTTTAGTTGGTATAAATAATTGTTCCAGGCTGTTATGAAACATTTCTTTTAATAATCCACATTTTTTTGTTAAATATTTTTAGCATTTATTTAGTATTTCCTTATTTTGTTTTTAGTATTTTCCTTTGTCTTCTTGATATTATGGTGGTCAGTGGAGGTTTCCTTATGACAACATCCATAGAGATCTATTTGGCCTAAACAGGGAGTAGAAAGTGTTATACTCTGCTTCAAATTATATCTCTTTCTGATTCACTCTACATGTTGGCTGGATGTGAATGATAAGAAAGCAAAAAAAAAAAAAAAAAAAATGAGTTGGGATCCAACCCATCTGCTTTTAAGAAAAACAATAACACACCAAAAACGAGTGGACAATCTGTCAACATCATCACCAGTAACCTCAGTCAACCAATCTGACAAACGCATCAACTCCAGGCCTTACTAACTCTACCTTTCCTCCAGGTTGCTTCCCTTGCACACAAAGAGACATTCTGCTCATATCCTTTGTATCAGTAATACAAAGTATTTTATATTAACAATTCTTGATATCTTTTCTTTTTGGTGTTTTCATTTGTTCTCCCATTGAGTCAGAATCAAAACTTAACAAATAGTTTCAGTATGCACTAGGAGAACTAATGAAATGGATTACAGTGGTCTCATCCATACAGAAATTCTCAACATCATCAAGCAACAGCAATCCTGAATCTCAAAACTGACTCTACACACACCAACGAACATCAGACCAAAGTGGTCATTGACAAACTTCAGACCTGCAAGAAATATTGGCAACTCTAAAATATACCACCACTAGAAACATAGGTACAACCCATAACCTCACAAACTACAAACAAATAATGTGGCAGTAATCGCTACATGATGCAATGTGAGATACCAAAAAATTTGAACAGGGCAAAGACATCAATCATTTGATTACTGATTTGAAAAAAAGGATATACAATCTAAGTCAAACCAGAACTCACCAAATGGAGGATGAAATCATCAAAACTGCCACTCCTTAATGAAGGCATATACCAACAGATAGACGACTTGCAATAACAAGACATCTTCACTGATCAACAGTTGAGCCTATCTAATGATGATTTTTCAGCAACTCTTTGAGCATGGGACCTCCAAAAAGAAGATAGTGAAAAATTGACAGATTTCGCAGTGTAAAATGGCCCTCAATATTGAATGTTAAATCAGACGTATGATCAATTTATTAAGGGATACACTGTCTTTGTGTTTCCTCTATCTTCCTTTTTTTCTTTCTTTATTTCCTGTCAAGACCGAGGTCTGTCTTAACTGGGAAATGGTGGGAAAGAATCTGTGTTGCTTGACAACTAGACAGGTTGACCTCCTAAGGGAGTAAGTAAAAGTCGGTCACCCAAGCCCACATGGCATGTGCCACCAAGTGAGATTTTTGAATTGTATTGTCAGTTTTCCAATAATCTCTGACCACAACAGGTCACAAGTAAATTGACTCTCATCATGTGCTAATTTGAAATATGCATATGAACTTATTCTATTACTTGTTGAATAAGGAGATATTATTACTGAAGATCCTGGATTTATTTAACTACTCGATGTGTAGTGAATAAGAAGATATAATTCCTGAAGACTGAGGATTTATTTGACTACTTGATGTGTAGAGAATAAGACAATATTATATATGTGTTCCTATCTGAGTGAAACTATCTTTTCTTTTTTTTTGAACTTTCATATCTCTATATTTTGAAAATTTGTAACAGCAGACTGGCACAAAAACATTATTCGAGAAGCCACCGTTCATATCAAAGTGAAGTTCAAATCAGATAACAGGCATGCAAAAATAACTTCCGACACTGTCTTCTCTTTAATGGATGTTTTGCTCATGAGGAAAAAAATAAAAACTTAGACACCCACCATTTACCCTCACCTCATCAAGACTATGGACAAGCACTACTTGCTGAGCAGTATAACCAGTGATACATAACACTACCTCAACTGGGGTAGAAGAACTGACACCACAATTACCCTTAATCTCACTGTAATGTACGCACATAAAATGCAGCAACATGACAAACCAAACTGTCACCCCAATGAGCCTGATCAAGTATTGGCCAACATAAGACAGCAACTGCTTCTGATAAGCAAGTAACTCTCCAACCTGAACACGCATGACCTAATGCCATCCAACCAGAATTGGAAGCAGACACACAGAGTCACCAGTCAAAATCATAGTTCTGATATATCTGCAGGAATTACATGAAGAGTTATACATGGTTCAACGGACACATTATCCATATCTCCAGCCACCACATGCTAAAGTGCACATCATGTCCACAGATGCCAATGTAACAAATATGGCGAACAAGACATCCAGGATCATTGCTATGAATTCCACTGAAGTGTTCATCACCTACTATGCCACCTCAACTATCATCTCATCTGAGATGATTATTGATCATCTTGTTATGATATGAATGTGTGTTTTCATGTTACTAAGCCTATGGTTGCAGAATGGAAAAAGAAACAACAAAATTTAAAGCAATAAACAATTGTATTAATATAATACACAATAAATGAAAAATCAGGGTAGATGTCTCTCATATGAAAAATGGAGATAAATAGATTTGTAAAGGCATCTAGTGTGGCATATGGAATGAGAGGGAAGATAAGCTGTGACTTACTGAGGTGACGTCATTTGGCAAGCTGGATGAGTGATGTCTTTGGCAATGGGAAGTCGCTTTTTGACAAGCATGTGAACTTGGATCAAGATGTCATCCAACTGCTGAATGTCACTTTGATGTCCTTTTTGAGGCTCAAATCAACTCTAGTTTTTATTTTGTTTTTTTAGGCAGGAGTGGGTGCTATTGGGTGGAAATTCTGGATTGTATTGCTTTTTTTTTCTTTGAGTGTATGAGTAAATGGAAGATATGTGTGAAGTCTTGCACAGTTGACAGATTTTTCTTTGAGTTTTGGGCATCTGGAGCATTCACATCTGGCCAATGGTGAAAATTAGTGCAACATGAATCAGATCTGATTTGGAGGAAAATTGTAACAATCTCAACATTGCCACTGAGCAGTCATCAGATGATATGCTATCAAAAGTCATCAAAGCTTTCCTGGTCATTGACTTAAACAACATTCCACTCATATTCTCTGTATTGGCAAGACAAAGAATTTTATATTAATAATTCTTGTCTTTTTGCCTCACTGGTAGTACTTGTTTTGTTTATTCTCTTGTGCTACCATACTAACAGAAAGATAGTAAAAATACAAAAAAAAAACAGTGCTAAAAAAAAGAAAAGAAAAAAAGAGTGCTAAGAGTTATAAAGAATAGGAAATTGTTGAATCCTCAAGTGACATGGTCACAGAAAAGAAGAAACAGTATCTGAAGTGTTCAATCCAAAAACAGCAATAAATCGACTTTATATTCATTTGTAAAAAAAAAATAATTTCTGGTTTAATTTGTTTATTGTATTTTTTATTTCCAATTCTCATTTTTCAATATAGGAATCTTAAGTTTTTCTCACTTATTTTATGGTAAATGTTTGTTGTTACATTTTGGTCAAATATTTGAATTGTTTGTTTTGGAAAACAAAAAAAGAAATTATCTGTAAACAAATAAACTGTCTCTGGATGTAAATGATTTTCTTCTTTATTTCCACCTAAATTCAAATTTTACAAGTTTTTTTTGAGAATGCAGAAAATCTTCCAAAAATCTAAACTAACCCAAACATTAAAGCACTTCAAATTTGTTGACTTCAATGGTACTTAGATAAAAATATATTTATACAATATAAGCAGTGCAGATATGACAGGTACTCAATTGTAGTGACTACTAATAGTTAGGAAGATCCCACTGAACCAAGAAAAGTGCCTGTCTCCATGTATGTCTTGAAAATCAGCAAAGATGTCATGAACAAAACAAGATAGAGAGAAAGATATAGACAGATTGAGTTAGATATGAACAGACTGGAATGAAAAGAAGCTGTTGGGGCGCACCCACCTTCTAACTAGTAATGGACTGGTCCCTCTTATATAAGTCAGCTCTGGAGAGAGAGTGACAGAGCGTCAGTGTTAGCAGTCCAGATAAGCTTACCCGGTACATACCGTTGGACTATAGACTTTGGATATTGTTTCGTACTAACCAACCTTCGTTCTACTAATCACTCTATTGTTAATTGCTTTTATGAATATACCAGTATTTTCCTCTACAACTGTGTTTGTCTTGATTCATACACCGACACGCGGGAAACTCACAACATCTCAACAGAAGCTAAAAAGAGATGAAAGTATAAATAGAGATTGATAGACAAAAGTAGATTGACAAATAAAAGCAAATTAGACAAATTGACAGACTGGATTATAAATGAAACCTGTATATTTTAAATTTCAATAATATCATCTCTATGAATTAGTAAAGTTCTACTGAGGATCGGGATTTTTGTCTTTTATTAAATTTTGTGTAAAGTGCTTGTTATCTCATCTATCAGTACCTTTGTATAAGAAACAGTTACTTAGTTGCAGGTAATTCAGTTGCTTCTTTTAAGAAAAGAAAAAGAGAATTAATTAAATAATTTTACTTATAGAATATTTGTCTTGTACCTTTGTCCACCTGATCTTCAGATCGATGAGGTGTGATCTTAACAGTGATTGGTAAATATTTCATCTCTGGTGAGTCATCATCATCGTCAGAATCAATGTTAATTTTCTTTTGTTCAGTCACGGGGGAATTATTGTCTTTCATGCTGGTGACAATTTCATTTTCTTTAATCTCGATGTTTGGATCATTAACTTTTGGTGGCTCTGGGGTTTCATTTTCTGGAACAGAAATAAGACAATAGATTAAGAATCAATGTATGTATGAGTGAAAGAGATGGAATACAATATGCTATAAATTATTCTGGTTAATATTCTACATTCATATTTAAACATAAGATTTTGGTTATTGTCTCAAAAAAATTCTTACAATCTAAAAATATTTTCTAGCTTTAAATAACCTGCATAAGGTTGATAAGTCGTCCACAAAACAAATCCCTGGAAAAATCTAAAATATAATAGACAATTACAAACATTGCTAAAAAAAAGATGAGCCTACACTTGTTAAACCACAGATATAAAAACATACCCTCACCAACAACAATAGTTTGGCTCAACACATTGACCTCATCACATGACCACCGACCCATATACACATCTCACCAGTTTGGATTTTGAACATAGATGGATTGACCCAGTCAGTTACACCCCACTCATGCTACCATGCAGCTTCTCTAATCCAGTCCAGGCCTCTCTCCTGACACCAACTGTGTCTTTGGTCAACCAACCCAACAAATGCACAAATTACCAGTTTTACCAACAACAACCTTACACCTAATCACTTCCCTTAGTAACAGCAACTAACTAAAGAACCACATGCCAACAATTTTGTTGCCTTTTCACACAGTTATGTATATATTCTGAAAATTGAAGAATACACATTTGTTGAAACTTTAATCCTTGTTTGTTCTTTCCTTTGCAACCATAAGCTCATTATAACAATAGTGAGAGGCTAGCAACATTTCATCTGTGCGAAAAGGGGTTGTAGGGTGGAAAATAATCACCCAAAAAGCTGAATAAATGATTTTGAAGTCTGTCCAGTCTGGAAAGTGAGGATTAAGCAGCTCAAGCCTAGATATGGCAGCAATGCTCTATTTTTGATCTGATCTGGCTCTTGTAATGATAGGGCATGGCAGAAGGAGTCAGGTATTTTCTGGAGTGTTATAAAGAACTGACTACTTTCCAGCATCTTTAGCAATGGATTGTATAGATGAGTTCCACATGAGATCTAGTGTGAGCTTGAATCCCAATAGATGTTCCAAGCAAGGATCCTCATTGAGAGTACAACCATTTGTCATGATCGCAAAAAAACCTCAGAGTTTGCTCTGTGATAATGAAATATTATTACCTTAGGTTTAATTTGTTTATTGTATTTTTTATTTCCAATTCTCATTTTTCAATATAGGAGTCTTAAGTTTTTCCCTTTATCCCTTTTTCCTGCTTAGGATTGGGTTTCTGGTTCCTTCTAAAGTCTTTTCATTCTTTTTCAATCTCATTAGCTTCTTACATTTTAGTGATATTTCTTGTGGATGATGTTCAACTTTTGGAAGACTGGCCAGCTCAAAGACCTGCTCTAAACATAATTGAACTATTGTGGTGGGAACTGAAGAAAACAATGCTCCTATGAAAACAACACAGTCTCCAAGAGCTTTGAGATTAAGAGAATGGAAAAGATTTCCAATGAGAAAATCTGGATCATGTTCCATTCAATGCCACATCAAATTGCAGCAATTATTTGAGTCAAAGACAGCAACACTAATTGATAACTCTATACGTTTATCTTTTGTACTTTCTATAATTTTAAGGATCACATATTGTAAAAAGAAATTCCTTTTTGATATAAGAAACAGCTCAAAACTGAAATTTTTGCTCATGTCCAATATTTTTGCACTGTCCTTTTCTCAGCATCACTAGGCTGAAGATTCTCTGCCTTTCACCATAGAGCATTAAAGAAAATACCGTAAAACTTTTTTCATGGCTCCCAAAGATCATAAAATGTACTGAGAAAAGCACACAGCTAATCACTCAATTTTGAGGTAATATTAACAAAAGTAATTAATTTACCAAAGTTGTAAAGAGTTTTGCATGGAAGTGTATACTTCACAAGAGCACCTTTCAAAAATTACAGGTAAAAAAAAACAAAAAAACAAGAAAGTAGTTCATACCTGTTTCTAACTGATTTTCTTGATATTCATGATTTTGACTATTGTCACCTGCATCTCTTTTATTCTTTTTCTTCTCTGCTGTTTGTGAATGTTTTCTGTTATTCTCATTGCTGTTATCTGGCATTTGAGAATTATTTAGAGCTTGTGTGACTTGCAATGTATCAATTGCAGACAAACTGTGTTCTTGATTCAAAGTTGGTGACATTTTCTGTGGTGAATGCAGCTCTGCTGTTGGGAGACTTGTCTTACAGAATAGATAGATAAATATATGAATAAATAACAATAAACAGAAATGTGCAAACAAATAAAAAGAAACTAACAACTCATTAATTACTATTTACACTTTTTACATTAGCACTATTGTCCTTATTTTGTTGTTGTTATCACAATGTTTCAGCCGTTGTGCCCTCTGACCATCATCAGGTGTATATTGATCCAGGTAACCTACAAGAAATTGTGAAATTAACCCTTTATTTAATCTACAGGGGTAGACTCTTCTTGTTCCACTACTCATACCTAGAGATATCTTGTCTAGTTCTTATTTTTAGTACTGCTCATTTATTGCTTGCCCTGTTTCCACTGAGTCCAAATACACACTGCCCAGCCCATGGATTGAACTCACAATTTCTATGTCACCAAATTCATAACAAAGATAATAGTTTGCATGTAAATAGTATAAATAATGATAACTCCTCATCCCAGAAATTCAGACAGAAGGCGATCAGGGGATAATAACAACAAAGATGAGGACAATAGTCAGCATGTAAATAATGATAACTCCTCATCCCAGAAATTCAGACAGAAAATCCATTTAGTTGTGATGGTTATCATTTTAATTTTTTCATCAAATATGTATTGGTCAGTTGATTGGTTGTTTATGCTTAGGGGCATATCAACACCTCTATGGGTTATTTAATGCTGAAATCTAATCATTTTTTGTACACAATTTTATCTTTATTTTGGAGATAATAATAGTCTAGTGATGCAAGATTACTAATTAACCCAGAGTAGGGAAGAAGACATGGATTTATACTTTTCCCTAGAGTATATGCACATAAGTGAATATAACAAACCTGAATGGAATTAGAACTCTGCTCTCCAATTAACAATTCTGAGTAATTGTCCGTTGCGCAACCTACACATCCAAGCTTACAGCAACTAGTATTCCCCAGTGGTTACTCATCTAGGTACTGACCAGGCTTGATATTGCTTAACTTTGGTGATTGTACAGAAACCTTGTTCTAAGAAGTTACACATCATGACTTCTATATATTTCTTACAATAAGCAATCTGAAAGCTCAAGTCTAATTAGTGGATATTTATAAAGAAGAGAAAAATATTTTCAGTAACAAGAAATAAATTATTAACTTGGATAAAACATTGTTTTATCAAAGAAAAATTGAGATACAAGTGGCTTAATGGTTAACAGCACAGAGAATGGAATCAGCAAACTAAGTTCAATCTCTGGCTGAGACAGTCTGTATTCCCTTTCTGGAAGTGGTCACCCATCTGAGTACTGACCAGGCTCGATATTGCTTAAATCCAGTGATTGTACAGGAACTGGTGTTTCAACATGATGTGTCCATAAAGTCATCTTGGTTAGTATAAGAATGAAAATTTTATATTTGGATCTGAAAATAATCCTAAATAGGTGACAAAGTACTGAACATCTAAACATTAGATACAATATATATTTGTGGAAGACTGGAGAACATATTGATCAAACATTGTAATGAAAACAATAAAAATGGTGATAGTAGCTTAAAAATTCTTGAAAAAAAAATCCATCTTCTATGGCAGTATATGATCATATTGTTATCTCTTGCTTCAGTTCTTCTGACATAACATTATAGTCAGACAATTTCTTTATCTTATCACACCTTATTATATGAGGGACAATAGTTGTAGCATTGTTTCTTAGAGGAAATGAGAGATGATCAGGAGAATGTATGTCAACTCCTTGGTTAGAATTTCATTGTCATGTGCTAGCTTCACTCATTAAGGAATGTGGATGTTAGATTGACATAGTGGATAATTGTATTTAAATCAGTAGCAGGAGACTTGACATCCCTTCTGGTTAAAAGTAGTTCAATCCTTGAGATGTATTTAAGCTTTGCCAATTTCTCCTTTGTTAGTTACACAAGGCTATGTTGAAGGGCAGAGTCTTGTCAGGAAACATCTACCTGACACCGTTTTTATGAGGTCTACAAGGAATTTTTGGCCAAGCATACAGGCTCGGATACCCCACGATAAAACTCTTCAGATATCTTCAGAAATATTTGAGACTTGCACTCATTCTTGCACATTACCTATTATATTTGGGTTCAAACCAGCCTTGGTTCCATCTTACTAATGTCCTGGTGGAACCTCTGACCATGATCATCACTTACTGCTATTTGCCTAGAATATAAATATACTTTCTATACACAGCATGAATATACAATTAATATAATATTTTCCTGGAATATAAATATGTTCTAAACTCGGTCTTGTGCCACATCTTGCTGCGTGGGGCAGTGGGTAAATACCTTTTTATATCAGATGCCTGGTGAAGCCTTGCCACTTTGAACAAAAAAGTGCTGTTCCCTTCTTTTAGATTTTGTATCTGTTCTCATACAGGGTGTTGGAGGCATGTTGACCTTTCAAATTATCACAGATGTCTCCATATTTTTACATCTTTTTAGTCTTATATCAAAACTTTAAGAAAGGCAATCCATCATTGTCTGAAGTCTGTATCTATGATGTCTTCTGATCAGTAGTTTGCAATTCTGGGCCAGCTATACATTCTGTAACAATATACTAAAAAAACTACTATATTAGTAAATAGAATTTACTGAATAAACAAATTCTTTACAGTGCGATTCTAACCTCCTCATCACTGAAAAAGCCTTAATTACACTGAGCAGAGACAGAGGGTAAAGCTTTGTCAGCGACACAAACAAATGATGCTGTACTAGACTAAACTGAATATGCTGCTTTTTCCCAAGCATCTTAGAGTTTTTAGATATGCACTAGCATATTCATATTTAAGGTAAATATTATACCAAGGGATGCAAAAATAGATATACAGTAATGAAAAACAAAAAGTGTGCACAAAATGAATTGTATTGATCATACAAACATATCAATACTGGTATAATACTTACTGTATACCTACTTTTTCAGCAGCCTGTATTAATAATATCTTAGCATTGTATATAGGATATTAATGTTAAAGGCTATGAGTAAAAAGCACAATCAAGGAAAATTTAAATGACTATGAGAAGTAAGTAAATAAATATAAAATACTTATTTTATTCCTGATATCTTCAGAAATATTTGAGACTCATTCTTGCACATTGAGCTGGCTTCCTGTATTTGGAACCAGCAGTAATTACCTATTATGTTTGGGTTCAAACCAGCCTTGGTTCCATCTTACTAATGTCCTGGTGGAACCTCTGACCATGATCATCACTTACTATTTGCCTTGAATATAAATATACTTTCTATACACAGCATGAATATACAATTAATATAATATTTTCCTGGAATATAAATATGCTCTAGACATTTATCAAAAGCCTGACATGTTAGGACAATTCTGTAGAGATTCGTACTCAGCAAACTTAATTATTGTCTGGGTAACAGGTAATATTTTCTTTTGCCCCAAGGAGTTAACATATTTATCTACACAATCAATATACGACATCATTCTGACAAACATATTATGTATAAATTAAACACTGCACAAGCAATCATTTAAACTATAAAACTGGAAGTCAAAATGGCTACAATTAAAAGAAAAGAGGAAAAAAGGTAAAAAACCAATAAAGAGTGAATGTAAAATGCAAAAAAAAAAAAATGATGAAAGGCACAAATAAGCACAACATTCTAAACATACACACAATACTCACTGGTATACACTATGGATAAAACAACAAAAACAAAAAAAACTTGCACCAATGTGTACAAAAAAGTAAAAACAAGAAGTATAAACAGTCAATTGCTTATACCCCTGATGAGTATCCCTCTACAAAACTCTGGAGTCAGAATGCAGAAGGTAACACCAATCAGCTACGTAACAAACCATTTACTTGTATTAATTCTTTTTCTCTCTCTCTCTCTATATATATATATATATATATATATCTATATATATATATATATATATATATATATATGATGATGGACTCTCCCACTGTTTTCGATGTATTTTTTTTGTTTTTCAGTTCAATTTTTATGTTTGTTTTGTATGAGATAATAAGCCTGCACAGGATTTGGTAACAAGTCCACATGAAGGACATGCTGAAGGGTGGACCATCATATGGGCTGATATATTAGCTTGAGATTTAGTGTTGGTTCTTAATTCACTCAAATGGTTGAGAAGATTCTTTTCAAAGTTATTTATACTTTGGTAGCAGGTGTTTCTCCAGTTTGCTCGGTTTTCAACAGCAAGTTCAAACTCCTCTATAGGGGTGTTTGCAGCATTTAAATTGTATTTAAGTTTGTTCTTGAAGTGTAACCAAGGATGGCCTACATTACGCTTACCATGAAAAAGTTGGCTATACATGAGGATTTTCAGCATCTGATCATCACTCATTCTGATGACATGACCATCCCATCTGAACTGTGATTACATCAGAAAGGATTCAATACTACCGACACCACATTTGATGAAAAGATCAGGGTTAGAGATTTTGTCCTGCTGTGTATAACCACATATTGAACGAAGAGAGTGTTTATGAAATGGTGTCCAAGATTCTGACCCATAAAGAAGTGTGGTGGGAATGACTGCTTGATAGAAACTGATTTTTGTTTTCAATGAAATCCCATGAACATCCCATAGGTGGTGCTTAAGCTTCTCAAAGGCATTGGTTGCCTTTGATATTCAGTTAACTATCTCATCATCCAAAGAATATATATATATAACAAGTAAACACACACACTTATATATATATATATATATATATATATATATATATATATATATATATATAACAAGTAAACAAACACTAAAATGGTCTGTTTAAAATGTCTGCAATAAAAAAGTGCTCAATATCAAAACGGAAACACTAACCTGTAAAGCTATTAATAAAATGTACAGGCAATAAAATGTTTAGATGCTGGATAGAAACACAACTGTTTGTTGGAAGCTCTGCTATTTGCTAAAGATTTGTGAATTTGAAACCAGAAGATATTAGAGTTATTTCAGACATTGACATCACAATTGAGATTAATAAAAATCTGGTAACAATTCTTGGATAT